ATATTCATCATCTTCAGCTCGGGCTCATTAGGCTCCGGAGCCCAGCCCCGCCACCGCCAACGCCTCCCGCACGCAGATAGAGCCGCCGGCTCAGACAAATAAATGCTTCCAGCTTCCCGGTGGATGCGGCAGGTCAGGGAGCATCTGATGCCAATTACCCGCGGTGTAGGGTTCCCGGGCAGCCCCTGTGCCCCGGCCCTCCCCGGCCACCGGCACCGCCACCTCCCCTCCCACGGGTCACCCCCTACTCCGGTGCCAGCAGCGACGGGGACAATCCCCATCTCCGAGGGGACAGCTCCAGCCTTGTGCCCCAGGGGGAGAACGGCCCCGTGCCCACGGGCTTTGGGCTCCTCCATCCCGGATCGGCGCCCGGCACAGGGGCTGATCACCCCAGCGCTTCAGGGCACGGCCGAAGGCCACCTCAGCATGTGGCTGTCCCCACCAGCTGTCACTGCTGCCACCCCCTCTCAGGCTGTCCCCACACACACAGGGACCCTCCTCCCTGCTCTTGGCGGGGCCCCAGCTGGTACAGCAGGTTTGGAGCCATCCTGGTGAGGGGCTGGCAGAGCCCCGAGCACTGGGCAGCCCCCACCAAGCAGGGGAAGCGTGCTGGGGCTGTGCATGGCCCTGTGACAGCACATGGGTGCCCCAAACCCCTCTGTGCCTGCTGGGTGTGGGTCCCACGGGATCCCTGGGGCAGCTCACCCCCACCTCAGGCCCCGAGCCGAGGACAGCTGTGGGACTCTTGTCAGATTCAGGTCCAAAATCACAATGGGGCATGGAAACCCTGGACAGGGCTGGGGAGGGTCCAGGTGCCCATCCCGAGGGGCGATGGCAGCAGCCCAGCCACGCAGCCTCGCCAGGCTCGGTGGGGAATCGGGCACAGGTGGCTCTGGGGACGGCTGCACAAGGGTTCCCTCATCCCCAGGCTCGGGCCGGCCTGGATGTCCTTAATTGCCCAAAGGTCGGTGTCCCCGGGCCCGGGGCCACGTGTCGGAGGGGCTGCGGGCAGGAACCTGACACGGCCGGGAGTCACTCGGGATCAACGCTGGGGGTCAGGAAATTACAATGGACACGAACCTAAACACGCTGCACGTCCCCCCAGGTAATCAGGGGCCGGGCCCGATTCCAGCTGACAGCTTAAATGCCCCAATTCCTGAGCCGCTGCGGCTCGAGGGGGTCCCGTGTGCCGTGGGCTTCTCCCAAGCGGGCTCGGAGCGGGAGGTTCGTCTGTAATTGGAGGCGTGCTGCATTCCCCTGAAAGTAGCCAGGTCCCGCTGGAGGGGGGCTGCGGGAAGGCAGCAATTTCCCTTATGGAATTATTTACCTGATTAGAGAGTTTATTTTATCAAAATTGCTTCAGAATGGGGCTGCTCAGTGTGTCCAGCACAGGGAGCTCCCCGGTGGGGCTGGCGGCCTGGAGACAGGTAATTTGTGTGGTTAATGGGACTAATCCACCAGGCAATTACACCAATAGATTTCACGGCTGCAAAGTGCTCTGTTCCCATTAATTAAAAATCTGTTAAGAAGATTAGCACGTAAAGGTATCAAAAGAAACCCACGAGTTTCTTTCCCCACAGGCCCCCCGAAGGCGAGTGTGGGAGTGCTGGATTGCTCACATTAGCACAAAAATGATTCTTTAAAAGGTAAGGGCTTCACATCCAAAGTGACTGCTGACAGTTTACCCCGACTTCTCTACCAAGAGGTCCTTTATTTTTAATTACAGTTTTTTTAAAATTAGCGCTGATTGTTCGCGTGGAGCGTTAGCTTACATATATTTGGAACGTGTGGTTCCCCTGTGTGTGGCAGCACAGGGTGAGGAGGGCAGGCCCTGGCCCAGCCCCGCTCCCCATGTGCCCCCAGCGCTGGCTGGTGCTCGGGACTGCCCAGGAGGGCTCCGAGGGGTCTGAACTCAGCATCCCACTGAGATGGTCCCACCAGGGCAGCACCACCATTGGCACCACCACAGGGAGCCCCAAACCCAGCTCTGCAGAGGCTTCTCTGTGGCAGGAGAGCTGTGCCACCCCCGCTGCACCCCACGGACACCCCACGGACACCCCACGGACACCCCACCCCACTCCCAGCCCGGCTCTGCTCAGCCCCTCTCACCACTCCTGCTCTTTGTCCACAGCCAGACACGAGCAAAACAAAAGCAAATTCCCCAGCAGCTGAAGGTGCCATTTTTATGGCTGGGCTGAACGAGGAAGTATTTTTTGATCTGTTAAAAATCCTGAATATTATCTGACAGTTTATCTTGTTTCTCGAATCCGTGTCTTTGCAGCAACGCCAGCTCATTTACATGTGTATTGCGCCTGCCTCCACGGGTGCTGAGGTCAATTGAAACTCAAGAAAAGAGGAGAAATTTATGCAAAACTGTTGATTGCATTTGTATGTAATGAAATCATCCAATATTCATCTGACTATAGACTCTAATCTGAAAGGAGAAGTGAAGGACATAAGAGTCACTGGAAAGCAATAATGAGCTTCTGTAGTGATTAAAAAAGCACTTGAGCTTTCTGAAAATCCAGCCAGAAATCGTGTCTAATCAACACGGAATATAGGAGGCAGAGATTACATTGATACATTTTGCAAAGCTCACTGTTGAAAATGCATGCTCGCTGTAAACTCTGACATGCCATCCAGGCTGTGGATACAGATCCGGGCGGCACAATCAGCGCCCGCCCGTCCCTGGCACAAAGCAATCTCCGTGTCTCTGCTCCGTGACTCACAAGGAGCGCAATCACTTCTATTTTCAAGAGCAATGTTGTTTTTTAACTATGTCGAGAGCTTCCAGCTTCCTTGGAGTTTTTCCTTCCCTGTGCCTCAGTTGCTCCTGTCCCTGTGGCCGCGGGGCTGGGCCAGGAGCTCAGGCCTGTCCTGGTGTGCCAGCCTGGAGCACTGGGACATCCTGGTGGAGCTGAGTGGCTTTGGGCAGCCTGGGAAGGGCACAGGGATGGGCACAGGTCTGTCCTGAGCAGGGGTGGGCACAGGGATGGGCACGGGGATGACCACAGGTCTGTCCTGAGCAGGGATGGGCACAGGGATGGGCACAGGTCTGTCCTGAGCAGGGGTGGGCACAGGGATGGGCACGGGGATGGGCACAGGTCTGTCCTGAGCAGGGATGGGCACAGGGATGGGCACAGGTCTGTCCTGAGCAGGGGTGGGCGCAGGGATGGGCACGGGGATGTTGGGGCTGTGACCCCCAGGGCACCCCCACCCCTCCATGCCACAGCAGTGGGACCCTGGCAGTGCCCCGGGCTGCAGGTGCTGTTGCAGAGGGGTCCCTGCCAGGGCAGCAGGCTGTGGGCAGCCCAGGGGGTGCAGCCACGGCCCTCCCTCACCCTCTGCCCTGCCAAGGCCAAACCATTTGGGGCTGATGTGGCCTCGCTGACACCGACCCACATTGAAGCAGCCCAGCTGCGTCCTGGCCCGTGTCCCTTCCCCTCCTGGGTTCTTTGGCACAGCTGGAGCTCCTTTCCCACCCGCCAACAGCATCAGCTGCAGCTTCTTATCAGCTCTGGGTGCAATCCAGGCTGGAACCGAGTGAGAGGCTCCTGCTGGTGCCAGGGGAGGAGTGTTTGGAGCAGGCAGACCTCGTGCTGCAGCTCCTGATGTGGAGCAGCAGGTGATTTGTGCTGCAAAGGGAAAGTGGGAGCTCTCCAGGGCCACCCTGTGAGCCAGCCAGTGGTGAGTGCCCATCCTCTCTTTCCTGGGGGGTTCTGTGTGCCTGGGAGGTGCTGGGGCTGTGGGTTATTTTGTGCTTGTCCCACACGGAGCAGGATGGGGCACAGCTCCCCAGGTTCCTGTCCTGTCTGCCCTGCTTTGGTGGCACCAGGGCTGAGAGCGGTTTCTGTGGGCCCTGTGGCTGCTCCTGGCTGATGCAGGGCACAGGGGTGGGAGGGGGACGCAGGTAAATGGGCTCCCAACCATGCAGGCAGCTCTGTCCCAGCCCAGCACCAGGGCAGTTTTACCACAGGTTCCATTCCTTGTGTAGTGGTAAATATTTGGGAAATTCCCATGTGCGTGGCCTGCTGTAGCTCCACTGCCACACCCAAGGGTTTGGAGAAAGGCAGAGGCTGGAGGAGCCTCCATGAGCAGCAGCAGCTCCTCTCCACCTGCCCTGGCTCTGTGCAGCTCCCAGCCCAGCATTGCTGCTGTTCCTGGGCAGGTATCAGGGAAACCCTTCCAGCCCAGGCTGCTCTGGGGATGCTGAGGCTGCAACAATGGCAAAAAAAAAAAAAGCCCAGTTGATAAATGTCAGAAGAAATCCAGCAATGGCTGAAAGCAATTTCCCGAGCAGTGGAACCGCCCTGGGCTCGCCATCTTCCTTTATTCATTTATCATGGTAAGGGCTTTGGCCAAAATACACAAAGCAGAGAAATTGTTGACATGTGGGGCCCTAGCAGAGCAAATCCTTCATCCTCCTCCCCCTCCCCGTGGCACACAAACTAACTTTTGGGGAGTTGTTTATTTAAGGAGTGCAGAGCACTTGGTGCTCTTTGAACCCAAATGCCTTGGGAGCAGGGCCGGGGCTGCCACCTCCTTCCCGGGGCTGCCACCACCTTCCTGCTCTGCCACCACCTTCCTGCTCTGCCACCTCCTTCCCGGGGCTGCCCTCGGGGAGTACCTGCTCCCAGTGAGGAGCTGAGCTGGGTCATGGGCTCAGGACCCGCTCTGCTGCACATCCTCCAAGCCCTCAGCTCTGCTGCCAGAGGCTCTCAGGCTTGGGGAGGCAGATGCTGCTTTTGGGGAGTTCTGTGTTGGCTTTAGGTCCTCTCAGTCCTGGCTAAAGCAGCTTCTCTCCCCACAGAGCCCTTGCCCACCCTGGTGCCCTGGCAGGGGGCAAATGCCTGCTTTGGAACACGTGAGCCAAGGGAACACACCAACCAGGACCTGGCTGTGGTGAGGCTGCTGCTCCACACCTCATTTTGACTTTATTTCAAGCAGAAATAGGTGCTGAGGTTTGCAGCAGGACAGGCAGGCTCCTCTCGGGGTGGCCCAGGGGGCTGAAGGTGTGGGGCAAAGAGGGAGCACAAAGTGAGCAGGGCAGTCCTCCCTGTGCCTCCAGCATCGCCAGTCCTCCTTCCTGGTGTTTTATTTTTGATCTCAGTTCATGCAATTCTGTTCCCACCTGGATAAAGACAGCAAGGAGAGCTCTGCCCTCCCTCCAGCACACCCCAAGGCAGCAGCCAGGGCACAGAGCAGCCCCTGCCCACCCCTGAGGCTGCTGGCCCCAGGCTGGGGCAGCCCATTCCTGCTCCAGGGCAGCTGGGATGATGTTTGTGATGTTTTTGACAATTGGGATGGTGTTTATCCAAGCAGCTCCTTGGTCTTGGCTGCCAGCAGCTTGTCCATCTCTGCAGCAGCCTCATCTGCCATTTGCTGGATCTGTGGCAAGACAGCACAAACCAGAGCTCTGTGTGAGGAGATGGCACAGCTCAAAGGGAAAGCAGTGACCAATTCCCCTTTGGAACAGAGCTCAGGTGCCTGGTGATGGCTGGAGCCCTGCCCAGGGTCAGCTCTCCTGGTAACAAGGGATGGACATGGCAGTGTGCAGAGGGGATGGAAACAGGCAGGAAAAGCCTGGAGCACACCGTGGGCTGTGCACTGCTTCCAGGGGATGAAGGTCTGCTTGTCCCCAAGGCTGACAATGGCCTGCACTCATAATGGAAGATCTGGGTACAAGAAAGGAATTCCATGGGAGATGTTCCCTCCATCTGTGAGTGAGCTCTGGGACAGAGGCTTCCTGTAGGATTTGGTTACAATGGCATGGCCATTTTTCCTGCTTGCACAAACCCTCTGTATATCCATGTTTATTTTTGTGAGCACACACAGAACTGTCCCAGAGCATTTGCAATGTATCTAACTTTAGCTGTTAATAAACAAACAGCTAAGGAGTAATGGCCTGCCTTCAGAGGCATCAATTCAGCAGAACACTTAGGCTTGTGCCTGAGTTTATGCCCAAGTAATTGACTTTAGTGACATCTGCTCTTAGGGAATTAGGCATGTGCTTAAGTATTTTCCTGAACTGGAGCCAAAAGCTCAGAACAGAGATAATCTTGCAAGCCTTTTCATTAATAACAACTGGAGCAATGCTCATTAACACATTTGCAGTGGCCAGGCATGGCATGAGTGGTGGTACAGCCATGGTCATGGATTGTTTCACTCTTTAAATTCTGCTGGTTTGTGCAACAATCCCTTCTAGTACAAAAGCTTTTGGGGAATTCTTTTTCCCTGTGTCAGCTTACAACGGCTCATATCCTAAATCTGGCTTTGGGATTGAAGCCCCAAATCTCACAAAGAAAAAGCAGATACAAATGTCACTGCCAGCTCCAGAAATTCAGCCCAGGGCTGTCCATTGCCCCACTGGGTTCTCAGTGCTGAGGATTTGTCAGCAGAGCTGGGACAAACCACTGAGCTGTGGGACACCAAAACTTGGCAGAAGGAAAGGAAAATTACCTGCTTTTCTAGCAGCCAGATGGTATCTTCTGACACTTTGTTCTTGGACTTCTTTACTTGGGTGATGCTTTTGCTTCTCACCTTTCTCAGGGCCTCTTTGGACTTGTTGGTGGCCTGCTTGGCCAGCTTGGCCAGGCTCTCCCTGTGCTCCCTCGTGACCCTGGGAGAGAGGAAAGGAAAAACACCCAAAGGAAAAGCAGTGTCATGTGCAGCACAGCCAGATTTATTTTCTGTGAAGGGCTCTGGGTAAATGAGTGATCCTCCCCAACTGGGGCTGCCCTGCTCAGGGACACACAAGAGCTGCTGGGTTTAGATGGAGCTGGCTCTGTGTGCAGGCACAGTCTCAGGGCAGAGGCACTGAACAGCTCAGGACACGTTTTTATTGTGCTTGGGTTCACCTGGGAAAATCTGCCAGCTCTGCACAGCACTCCAAGGAAGCAGTCTTGAACCTAGAGTGGAAAATTTCCAGCTCATCTCTGAGCTGGGGATCTTGGACCTAATCTTGCTTTATAGTTCTTGCTGCAGTGCCTGAAAGTCATCTTGAAATCAGACTTTCCTTACTTCCTGCTGCCAAAGCATGTGTGGGAAAGAGGAAAAATCCAACTCCAGGCTTGAAAGATCAAGTGAAAAAGTGTCATCCTAAAAAGCACAAAACTGCAAAGCCAGGAAGAAATGTCTGCTCCAGAAACTGGGATTTGCCTCCCTGCAGCTGAAGAGCCTGAATGATGTACCTGGAAGTTAATGAGCTTATCTTTCACCCAATCTGATTCCAGCTCACCATGAGCAGGATTTCCCACCAAGATGATGTGAACACCTGGGGTGACAAGAGGATGCTGCTGGACGTGGTAAGCCACAGATAACCCAGACCAGGAGAACTTCTAATGAACCCTCCCCCTGATGTGGGGCCAGTCACTGCTGTGGTGTCACAGAAAAATGCTCAACTTTCTATCCCAAACTAAAAACTGGAGATGAGGGGCTCTGGGATAAAAGGCTCGGGAGTGGCTGATGTGTCCCCTGAGCTCGGGTCATGCTCCAGCACCTACAGCTAACCACTGTCAAATGCCAGTGCTTAACATTAATATTTTAATTATTTTCGTAGCTCTTGGAGTTTCCAGACTGCCTGGAGAAGGAAAAACCCTGGTGCACTCCCTGAGACTCACTAGCAGGAGAATGCGTGGGGGTGATACTGCAAAATAAACATTTCACAGGAGTATTTAGAATTGGCTGCAGCAGCCTGGGTCACCAAAACCCTGGGGCCAGGACTCTGCACAGAGAGCTCAGGAAACGTGGGGTGAGGGTGCCTGGGCTGTGCCCCTCGGTGGCTGTGGGCTATGGGGGGCTCTGGGGGCACAGCTGGACCCTCAGCCCATCCCCACAGCCAGGTCTCTGGCAGCCATCCCCATCTCCCAGTGCCAGAGGGAAGAGGGATTTACAGGAAGAAGCAGTTAGGATTTACAGGAATTCAGGATGGCCAGGAAAGCTGGCAGAGCCAGAGAGCCAACCCAGCCCTGGCACCCAGGGCACCCCAGGCTGTGGAGGGACTGGCCAGGCAATGTCACATGGAATCCCAGAATATCCTGAGCTGGAAGAGCCCAACTCCTGGCCCTCAGAATCCCAGCCAGTGCCTGAGAGTGTTGTCCAAATGCTCCTGGAGCTCTGGCAGCCCTGGGGCTGTGCCCATTCCCTGGGGAGCCTGGGCACGGCTCCACCACCTCTGGGGGAAGAACCTTCCCTGAAACCCAGCCTAACCCACCACATGTGGCAGGAGGATTCTGGTCAGCACAGGCTGGAGCCTGGCTCCAATGCCTGACCAGGAGGGAGCAGGGATCCCTCTCTGTGTTCCAGCACTGATTCCTCTGGGATTCTCACACCCAAGCCCCCAGCAGAGCCCTGGCACACCCAGAACCCCCAGTGGAGCTCACGGGCACAGCTCTGCCTCAGGGCACTTTCTCAGGCAGCTTTTTGGGGGTCAGTGGGGAGGGAATGCTGGCTGCTGAGCCTGCAGGAGGGAGCTGGGCTCTCTCCATGCCCTGCTGGGTGGAGGGAGCAGCTCAGAGGGGCTGCTCGGGGTGGGAGCCCAGCCTGGCTGTGCCCAGGGTATCGCTGGCCTGCCCGGGGCTGCTGAGCCTTGAAGGAAATGTTTTTGTTTATGCAGCGCTGCCAGATTTCCTCTGCTTCTTGGCACGGGGTCACAGCTTTCATGCCTCCCTGTCTGTCTTTATTAACACCAATTTCTTTTTATCACCGCGCAGCGCCGGGGAGTTTCTCAGCGGGTTTTATGTTCCAGCCAGACTGCGTGTAAATTCTCAGCAATGCTACCAATAATGCCAGAAACAGAGACTTTTCCAAGCAGATGCTGTTTCTGGTTAAGGAATCCATCAACACGAGCCAGGCCCCAGGTTTCTAAGGACAGTTGTTTTAATCCTGCCCTGAGATCTGGGACTTTTAAGCTGTTCTTAGGTATGTTTGCTGTTCTGTCTAGTAACCATCGTCCCTACCCCCTCCCAAAGCCAAAACCAAGTGTGGAGTGAACTTGGGGAAAGGGGGTCAGGTGGGGAATGAGGACAAGCTCCCAGCCAGCAGCCCAAGGAGCAGCAGGGTCAGTCCCTGCCATCCCCAGGGACAGCCTTGTCCTGCTGGCCCAGGGCAGAGCCTGCTGAGTGACATCTCAGGGGGTCACATCTTCTTTTCTGAGGAATATCTTTCCTTCTGCCTCCCCCAGCACTGCAGGTCCCACCCCTGAGAGTGGCAGAGCAGACCCTGAGAGGACAACCCAGCTCAACACAGGACATTTCTCTGGGTAAGCGTGATTCCTGTACCTCCACCACCAGGAATTTCCTGTGAAGGAGAGGGATCGGTTAAAGGAAAGCGGGCTAAGCTAAACACTCTGCATTCATAATTGCAGATAAACACAGGCTGCAACATTTATTGCTCAATAAAACGCAGGCAAGAGGCTCCTGATGATGAGCAGGAGCAGCTCACAACAGCTTTGGGGTATTTTCAAGTGAAATGTTTTGGTCCTTTCTCCCCATAGTAGGTATCTGCTTATTTCTTAAAGGGCAAAGGGAAAAAAAAGGCTTACAGTGAGTCATTAAACTTTCAAATGAGTCATCTGGCTTTCAGTAAAGCATGTGTAAAAATATTACTGATTTACAAACAATATCCAGTGTAACACAATGGGTCCAAAAAAGATGAATCTAAAAATGAGGCAATACCATAAAAGACACAAGGTCAGGTCAAATTCGGCCAAGAGATCAACCAATACAAATGTTCCCATGGATGGTTTTCTTTCCTTTTTTTCCTATTTTTTTTGTAATTTTTATTTTTAAACCCTCAGAGGCTGCTTTTTATACAAATAAATATTGCCTATGCAGTGCTAGCCACACAAACAGGAGAATGCCTTGGGGAGCAGAGGGATCCTGGCAGGCAGCACAAGTAAACACCAACCACACGAGTGTATTTTTTCTGTTCAAACTGCATTGCAAAAACTAAACTGATAGAATAAATACTGAAAAGCAAACTCCATTTTTTAATGCTCTGTTGAAACATTCTGGAGCACAGCTGGACCTGCACAAAGCAAAATATGGCACATGTGTGTCCAGCTGACAGGTCAGACTGAGGAGTGGTTATAATAACAGGTAAGGACAATTTGGATTTGGTTTCATTTTTGTTGTGCCTCCCTTCATGAAAGAACCAAAGCCTGCAGAACCAATATTAATATTGTCTCTTCATTTCTGATTTGCTGCTTATTTTGCACACCTGACGTAATTCTGCAATTTCACTGCATCTGTCTGTTACATTCTTTCACGAACTGCTGGAAATAACGCAAAACTTTAAAAAAATTGTTAAAAGTAAATGAGGGATAGAATAATCTTTGCCCTGCCTTTTTCACTAGGGGGTTTAAAAGGCTGGAACTGTTTGTGTTTTAGGCGAGTGGCTGAAACTCCCAGAGCCCCAGACATGGAGAGCAGCAGGGACTGGAGTGCCAGAGAGGGCAGGTGTGGGGCACAGACTCCTGAACTCGGGAGTGCCCAGCAGCCAGGAAGGGACCAGGAGCTGCAGCCCTGACTCAGGAGGGGAACACAGGAGCTTCCCTGGGAAGAGCAGCCTTGTTTTCTCTCTGCAGCACCACAGAAGATAGTGACAGACCTACACATTTGTTTAAAAACACAGGATTTTGTTAAAGCTGGGCATTTGCAGTTTTGGAGTTTCCTCCCCTGCAATTCGTATTCAAGGATGACCCAAGTGCCCATTAACAATCAAACCACCGTGCAGCAGCCCGGGAGCCTCAGCAATTACAAAGATAATGGTGACCTCCTCCTCCTCTCCTGAGGAATGGGGGAAGGGCAGGGAGCACAGGGAAGGAAAATCAGCAAATAGAATGATAATGTCACTGCCTCTCACCCACAGCCACGGAAAGCTGCAATTAGACTTCTCTGATCAAAATGCTGGGTAAAATTCCACAGAATGTTTAGAGGAGATTTACAGCACACACCAAATACCTGCCTCATCTTTACCAAGAAGTCACCTGCTTGTGCAAGGGGTTTGTGCACGCCCTGTGTGGGAGCTGTTTGTCTTTAGCATGGTGGGAAACCATGCCCAGCCACACCTGCGCAGGGTGTTCAGGTGCTCCACAAGGTCTGAGCACCCACAGGAACTGATGAATTTTCCTTGTGCCAGGCTCTGTGTGTGTCAGTGACTGGAGCTGCTGGGAGATTCCTCATTTCATCTGAGTGCAGCCCCATTCCAGGCAGAGCCAGGATCACTTCTGAGCCAAACTGAAGCATGGATGCAGCAGCACCTCCTGCCTTGTCCAAGGTCTGTGTTGGGTGAGGGAAGTGATGCTCAGCCCTTGCCTGAGTAACCTGTTTTTCCAGCCCCATACTTAATTTTCCATACAGCCACCAGTTACACACTGTGTATTACACAAAAGAGTGAGCAGATTTTTTGTCAAAGCTATAAATTTCCTTCCTCTCACTTTCATCAGCTCCTTTTAGTGCTCTCTGCAGCTAGGTGCTACTCTCCCCTAACACCACTGGTTCTGTGCTGGTGTAATTGCAGGAATTCAGAGCAGGGCAGCACAGAATCAGCCCCTGAATTTAAGCAATAGTTTCAAAAGCTTTTGGCTCTCTCTTTCAAAGTGCTGCAGCCAGCCAGGACCAAGCTTCCTCTGCAGAGGGAAGATGAAAAACAAGACCCATCATCAGATGCCAAGATGTGGTGACAGAGCTCAGACACTCCCAAGAGGTTTCACAAGACCCTTCCAAGGGCTTGGGTGTTTTCCTGAACCCAAACTACAGCTCTCTGGGAAGCAGCTGCATGGGGATACACAGCAATCATGCATGTTTGGCCTCTGAAGGGCACTCCCTGCATGATGCAGAGCTGGGGCATGGACACTCACTTGGGAACTGGCACCCGGATCACCGTCCCGTCCACCTCGGGGTTCAGGTTCATGCCACTCTCCCTTATGGCCTTTGCAGCTGCAGCTGTGCTCTGTGGAACAGATCAAAAGGTAAAGGGAATTAGGAAATAATCATTGCCATATGCCAGAACTCTGTCAATAGCTGGCAATCCATCTCCATGGAACATGGAAACATTTACTTGTGTTACCAGTGGGATCAGGAAGTGCCATTGGTGCAGAGAGCTTTGATCAGAGCCAGTGGGAGCTGCGGCCGCTCGTGCTGGGGTAGGGGGCACAGGAGGAGAGGGGAAGGCAGGCAGCAACAAAAGAAAACTGCTTTGCTTCTTTGAAACTGTTTGAATGGTTTGAGGCAACGCAGAGTGAAACCGCAGTAAATTCCCAAGGCAGGGCCCGACTGTGGCAAAGGAGATGAAAGATTCTGAGCATTTGAACATTCCAGCTGAATGTTTCCCCCTGGAAATCACCCAGTGCCAGTTCTGAAACCCTGACGAACTTAACCACTTCAGCACCACAAGCTGACCACAGGACACTTCCCAAAACTCCCCCCTGCTGTGTTGGGAAGGGGGGTGGCAGCTTTGCCTGGTGGCTGCAAGGTGATTTCACCCCCATCACAAGGTGAGCGCACCCCTACAGAGTGCCAGGCTTTGGGGTTAAAGCAGAGTTGGGCCAAGAACACCCACAGGGCTCTGCCAGGTCGCTTCATTCTTGACTCTGACAAGCCCCAGGAGTTTTTTTTCCTGTAGCACTTGTTTCCTACCAGGCATGATGCTATTTCTGATATTCTTTGCCAACATTAACTTCAGCTCCAGGCTGCTGCAGTATTTATGTAGCTCAGACTGTATTTATAAAGCTCAGCTTTTGCCAACTGAGGCACAAACTAAAGCTCTGCAGATTTGCTCAGGTCCCTCATGTGTGACATCACTGAATGAGATGAATGCTCTGCTGGTGTTCTGCAGGACACAACTGCTGTCCCCTGAAACTACAAGGGCAGAGAAAATGCAACCAGAATGATCTCAGCACGTTAGGAATGTCAGTGTGTTATTCCATGGACAGTGCCTGGTCTGCAGGAAAGAAATAGTAAAAGCTGTGTTGTTTAATATAGATATTGGAGGAGATAGAAGAAGAGGAAAGTAATGAGAGAAGGGAAAATATTGCAATATTGCCTCCTCTTGTAGCCTGTGAAAAAAATAACTGTATTTAAAAACCCAGTGTTGTTTGGTTTTATAACTCCTGGGAAGACAGACTTCGGCTCTGCAAGTCCTTTTCTATGATTATTTTATTTCTCAGACTCTTCAGGCAATTTTATTTGCTTCTCAGTGTCATGAACTACTGACTATATGCTGTAAATAATGACATCAAGTGATCAGGTCTCTAATGGTTTTAGTCCAATCTATCACAAAACAGGTGTGGGTATAAAGCAACTGTGGTGAGAGAAATGTTCTACGGTCCTTTAGCACAGAAAGCAAATGTAGGCAATGCTATGTAGAGGATATTTAATTTCTCCCTTGCCCATTTCTCAGCCTGAGCTCCCACCTGGCCATGGAGGAACCTCCCTGGCCCTCTCAGGACCTCACTGATGAGAGGCCTCCGTTCTTCAGGGCCTTTATACACACGGGATACACTCTAAGAAACACTCAGGCATCAAGTGCCTTGCACTGACCTCCTCTGAGACTTTGCTGACTTAATTAATTGGGGAAAGCCTTTGCAAAATAAATAGAGATAAGGCCTGGCACAGCTCCAGCCCTGGAGCAGGGTGAATTGTTAACCTTGAGCTCACTCCTGCTGCCCCGTGCCCCGCGCTGGGACCTGCTGCAGGCACCCCCAGGGTGGGCTCAGCTGAGCTGGGATTTGGATTTGCTGCCTCATTCAGGGGCAGGCCTAAGGCTCCTGCAGAAAATTAGAGAACTTGTCTCTCACAGAAGATAAACCAGAGCCCCTGATTTGGGTTCTGACCTGCAGGTGCTGCCAAGGGAGGAGCTGGCCAAGCTCAGCAGTGCCCAGGTCGAGCTCTGTGACAGTATGAGCCAGCTCAGTCCCATCAGGGAAGCTGTTCAGAAGGTCACAGGCACTGTCACAGCTTCTCTCAACAACTCTCAGGGATATCAGCAGCCCTGGTAATACATAAGCAAGTTTCAGAGGTGTCTGATGAAGTCCCCAGCACAAATTCCAATGACACGTCTGTTTCTGTGCATGGCCATGTCCTGACAAGGAACTGAGATGAATACAAGGGGCTGATAGAGCACTGCAGCCATGTGTGCAGCTCAGGTGAGTGTGTGTGCTCACACTTCTCATGAATGCATGGGAAAGGGGCAGGGCTGGAAGGGCACAGTGAATCCAGCATCTGGTCCATGGTGCTTTGTGCTGTTTTGCAGATCCAACTGCAAAGCAAACCCCTGGAACTGTGGCACCCCTTGGATACAGCCCTGGGAGCAAGCCCAGCACTCAGTAACTCTGCTGTGAGCCTGTGTGCTGCAGGTGAGCTGCTCTGGGGGCCACGTGGGGCTGGGGAGCTGCTGTCAGCAGCAAATGCCATTTCTGCTCAGTGTCAGCCCCAGTGACACAGCCCAGCCCCAGCCCTGCCACGTCTGACTGATCCTGTCTAAATGCTCCTTTCCCCAGCATCAACCTGTTTGTTCCTGTGGCAATTACCTCCCCTGCCAACGTGTCCTCACCTCTGGGAAGCTGGCCATGTTCACTGTCAGGAGCTGTGGGGACTTCTGTGAGATCTGCCCCAGCTGGTTCAGCGGAAACTTCCCGTCCTTTGTCACCACAGTTATGTGATCCAGGGCCCCTCAAAAGAACCAAACACAGGCAGCCTCAGTGGGACAGAACACTGTGCAGGGATGCTGCAGAAAAATGTGTCCACATTGTCCCACTTCCCTTCTGCCATGCAAAACGCAGAGGTTACAAAGGAAAAAATGGTGTTTACTCAGCCCTCAGGTGCTGTTTGTGTTCAGGCATCCCCTGTTTATTCACAAGGTAAATAATTCAAAGCTGCTCTAAAGCACAAAAACATGAAAACAAAACTCTTGTTTGTTTTTGCTACTAGAATAGGAAAACTAAGCAGGATTGTTAAGAATTAAAGGGAAATAGTTATTTTTTTAATTCTTACAACTTAAAGAAAATAAAATTGTTGCTATAAAAATCAAGACAACTATTGTTTTTAACTTAGCAGCACTATCTAAAACCCCTCTATTTTTTTCCAGGCCCCCAGAGGGGTGTTGTACACCGCCCAATTTAAAGTATTCCATTTCTCCCTGAGCTGCTCTTAATCTGCTCTCTATTTTCTGCTGCAAAATGTTAACAGCCCAAAAGACACATGGGACAGGAGGTACTTTATCAGTGCAATTAAAAAAAATACCTATGGTTAAAATAAATAGTTAAGAGACTGAGCTGGGCTTCCCAGCTCCATTAAAGACAGAAGTGCCCCTGCCAGAGCTGGGGTGGGGAATGATTCAAATCTGGTCATTGTTTAATGTTAAATTTTATCCCTGAAACTTGATACACTTACAAATGCTCCGAGTGTTATAGTAACTGCAGCTTAGGCAAACATTCACATTTCTTCCTAAAACACAGAATCCATGAAGGAGGCTCGTACAGGTTACTACCCACAAAGATGCACAGGAGAAAAAGAGTTTGTATATGCCAGACACCAGCCCAATGGCAATTTCCAAAAGGATCATTTAATGGCAATTGGATTTTTCCTGCCCTACTGCACCATTAGCTGACAACCTGCTTCTTCATCACATCTGCAAACAGTTCACTTAGACACTTTTGACATCTCCCACTTAAAAAAGCTATTTCCAGGAAGCTATTAACAAAAATGGATCCTTCCTGGTCAAGCTCAGGGTGAAGAAAGCCTCTAGCTGGGATGTCAGGGCTGTAGGAATTGGGTAACTCCAGGAAAAGAAAATTGATTTTGAAAAAATCTGAGCTGTCCATTACTGGGATTTGTATCCTTATTTACAGGCTACAGAGCATCACACAAGGAAGTTACCAACCTGGTGAGGTTCTAACACTGAGATTTCTGCTGAAATCTTCTTTCAGAGCTTCTATGACTGCCTGCATGTCTTCACTGGTTTCCTCCAAATTGATAATATCCTCAACTAGGGCAGCACTGATATTCACTTTGGCTTGACTCTGCCCTTTGCCTTTAGCTGCAGAGTACACAAAAGATTAGTTTCTATTTCTGACAAGTTAGTTGGAAAGTAGAAAGAAGACATTAAAGTGAGATTTAGAATCAAGTCTAAGATAAACTGAAGTAAAACAAAAGCAACTGTATTTTTAATGAGTAAACAGCTCACCATTTGAGCACAACAGCCAAAATTTATAAATATATTAGAAATGCTTATAAGTGTGAGGGTGTAAAACCGTGAGAAAAGCTGCGGTTTTTACCTTTTTTGGTAGCCAGCTGCCTGCTGAGCAGCAAGTGCTGGGCACAGCGGCTGCAGCCCCCCGGCAGCGGGAGCGGGGCCGGGCAGCCCCCGGGAGAGCGGGGCAGCCCCCGGGGCACGGCCGGGGCGGAGCGGAGCAGCAGCGGCGGGAGGGGACGGAGGCAGCGCAGCGCCAGAGCCATGGCTGAGTGCTGTGTGCCCACCTGGAGGGGAGAGAGAGAGGAGAGAGGGGCTGGACTCAATGGAGCCATGGCTGAGTGCTGTGTGCCCACCTGGAGAGAGAGAGAGAGGAGAGAGGGGCTGGACTCAACCAGAGCCAGGGCTGAGAGTGCTGTGTGCCCACCTGCCAGGGAGAGAGGCGGGACGGCAGAGAGGGGCTGAACCCAACGGAGCCAGGGCTCAGGGGCGGCTGTGGGGGCAGCTCCGTGATACGGGCAGAGCTCTGGGGATCGGCTGTGCCCACGGGGCAAATGCAGAGGGAAGGGCTCGGTGGGTGCCAGCGGTGTCAGCACGGCCTCTGCACACGTGTCCGGCCTCTGCACATCTGCCCAGATGTGCTCGTGACACAAACCCACGGCTGCCGAGCAGGAGCATGCCCCGGTACCGGCTGCGCGTACACCAGCGGGGCTGAGGCTTCTGCCTCAGAGCTCTGCCAGCCCCGTATTCACAGGGTTCGTTCCACCGGGCCGCTCGGGGCTCTGCCAGCCCCATAATCACAGGGTTCGTTGCTCCGGGCAGTGTCAGCAGCCGCGGAGCTGCGGTAACACACGCGGAACGCGGGACTCGGGCCCCGCGGAACCGACGGCGGAGAGCGGGGCGCTGCCGCTGGCGGCCACCGGGGAAAGCGGCGCTCCCTGCGCCGGGGACACCCGATACCGGTCCCGACACCCGGTTCCGGTCCCGCGCAGGTGCGCACAGGCCCCGCCCCTCTGCCCCACCCATCCAGGCCCCGCCCCACCAGGCCCCGCCCATCCCGACCCCGCCCCGCCCACGGTGCTGCCGCTAGTCAGGAAGGCCGGCCCGCTCGCCCCGGTGCCCCGTAGAAAGCCGCGCCGAGGGGCGGGGATCGGCGCCGGTGATCGGGAATCGGGGCCCGGGACCGGAGCCCGGGGGAGGCCAAGGTGAGGGGAAGGGAGGCGGGGAGGGCGGGCGCCATCGCCTCGCTCACCGTAGCGCGGCCCTGCGCGGCCCGACAGCGTCATCGGCCGCGCCGCAGCGTGACGTCACCGAGCGGCGCCAAGGGCGGGGCGAGGCCTGCGCGGGGACGGGGCGGCCGCGGCCCCGGCACGGAGCGGGCCCATGGAGCCGGGCCGGCAGGCGCTGCCGCTGGAGAACGCCTCCATCCTGTCCGAGGGCGCGCTGCAGGACGGGCACCGCCTCTGGATCGGCAACCTGGACCCCAAGATCACCGAGTGAGTGACCGACCGCGGAACCCCCCCGGCACCGCCCCCGCGGCGGCACCGCCCCGGACGGGGCCATGTTCCCGCAGCGGCACCGAACCGTCCGGGCGGTGCCGCCTCGTCCCTCCCCGGACCGGCAGCCCGCGGGCCCGGGGTCAGCCCCAGCACTGCCCGGTGCCAACCGCTCCCCGGGTGCTGGAGGTGCCCCCACGGGCGGCGGGGCCGGTCGGGAGCGGCGCTCCTGGCTCTGCTCTGCCCCCAGCCAGGCGAGCAGCCCGTGCCTGCCGGTGCTGCTGCGGGCAGGAATCGCTCCAGCGTGGGTCCATCCGTACGCGGTGTCCTCCCGCACCGAGGGGCTCAGAGGCTGCAATCAGCACCCCCTGAAGCACCGCTGAGCTGGGGCTGAAAACATCCCTGTGCTCCAAACCGGGGAAATGTAGAGTATCAGGCTGGAGCTCTCAGGGTGACAGTGCTACAAATGGTAAAGCAAGGCACAGCCCTGGGAGCTGTACCCAGAGAGGTTGGGGTCTGGAGGAATGGAGGTGCCAGGGCAGAGCTGACAGGCTCTGGGTCAAACAGCAGCTCTGCTTTGGTATTTTTTGCTGGGCGTGGGTTCAGAGGAGAGTGGCTGCAGCAGTGGGTGGGGAGGAGGTGGGAGTGGTGGGGCTGGCTGCTGTGGTGGGTAAATGCACGAATCAAACGTGTGTGTGAGCATTTTGTGTTTTCTCCAGGCTATGGATAATTACCTCCTGCACAAGCATAACATTTGAACAGCTAAATTGTCAAGGGAATGTGATGTGCTGTCCAATGTTTGGATAGGGTGCTGTGAAATAACTAGGTTGTATAAAAAGGAAAGCAAACCAAAACAATTTGGGCTTTACACACTCACAACAGACAAGCATTTTTGATTAACTATTGTGTGTGCCTGTCGTGGAATACTTTTTCTTCCTGGTTCTTTTTGTGTGTGTGCAGGTGCTGGGGTTTATTCTGAGCGTGGTTCATCTGAGCAGAGCAGCTCCCTAATAGCCTCTAAATGGAATCATTAATGCTTTGTGATTTCAGCCATTCAGCTTGGGGAGGTTTCTGCATTAATTACCACTCCTCTCCCTCAGCTCTGTCCCTGTGGTTTGTCCACATTCACTGACCACGTGGAATTAGATGCAGGAATTCCTGAGAGTTGTTTGCTGGCTCCTCAGGGATTCAGGGGCTGGGTGAGGGCAGAGTGCAGGGTGTGGGTGCATTGGATCCTCAGTGCTGTTAAAGACCCTGTCAGGGTAGGTTGTTCCTTTTAGTCTTGGCCAAATAAGTAATAGGTTTATATGGCAAAATTTACTGTTTTCATCACTTGGATGAAGTGAGTTTGGTGGTTTCTCAGACCTAGAGTGCTTCCGTGCTCCTAAATGTTGAAAGTTTGCCCAGTGATGAGTGGCAGTGCTTGCTGCTTATTTCAGGCTTTATAGTTTTGTGTCTTGCTTTTTGTTTTGCTTTAAAATGGCTTTTCTCTCCTGCAAGTGATGCTGTGTCTCCATTTCCTTGTGAATAAAAGAAGAGGACGCTCCTTTTAGCACATTGTCAGTGTAAAGAAAATGTGTGGCCAGTAAATTTCTATAAATCATCTTGACCCTTATTCTCCCATGCTAAAGGCTTACATCTCTAGTTCTAGTTGCTTCTCTGAATTACTCCTGTTGAGGTTACTACTCACATGACTAAATCAAACTCCTGAAAATGAAATGTTTCTGCATTTGCTGCTTTTATCTTATTTTTAAAGAGCCGCCTTTGTTATTTCTATGTTGGATTTGTTTGAGTAAGGCTGATTGAGTTGTTGGCAGAGTTAATAAGTGGTTGTGACACTCTCGAGCAGAAATGAGATCAGAAAGTCTTGAATCAATCCAAGACTTCCATTTAAAGAGCAAACTGGAGCTGCAGTCAAGTGCTGGGGCGTTAATGGGTAATGTACACATTGGAGCACGAGCTGCAGGAGCAGCATTTATAAATGTAGGGCTGCCCACAAATTCCAGCCTGGGAGCTGGAGCTTTTGGGAGGTTGTTGCACACACGCAGTGACTGTGGCTCATTGGGGGTGCTGGCATGCCCTGGGCACTGGGTTATGGTGGCTCTTCAGCCTGGCATTCCTCCCTGCTGGTTGTGGTGACTCCTTTTATCAGCACCCTTAGAGCATTGCCTGCCTGTGGAGCAGGTGCTGTTGGGACTCTCCTCAGTGTTCTCAGCAGCTGGAAGAGTTCAGCTGGCACCAGGGGACCTCACGGCTGCTTGTGACAGAGGATGGTGTCTCCAGGCACCCTGGGACCGTGAGATCCCTGCCATGGGGTCTGCACGAGGGTGGCAGCAGGTGGTTCCTCGAGGTTTGGTGTCAGCACCAGCATTTGTGCCCCAGCTGCACAGCGGGGCAGGCCATGTGCTGTGGGTCAGCTCTCATCACCCCTCGGTGCTCCCACCCCATGGGGCAAAGCCACACAGCTCATTTCTGTCTCCCTAGAATTGCCTCCTGTGCCCATTCCTGTCCTAGATCTTTCTGACACTGTGCAGCTCTTTGGCCAGGCAGAGATTTCATTTTCAGCTCTGCTCACATGATCCGGTTTCCCGTGGCCTTTCAATGCCCATTCATTTTGCACGGGGATGAAGTAGGGGTGTTGACCTTCCTCAGCCGCTGTGCTGCTTGTCGAGGATCCCATCTCACCGAGTGTCACCTCGAAAACAATGTGTGCACAAGCTGTTGTCACAGCCCCCCGCCGGCAGCTCCCAGTGGGGCGGGATTCCTGCAGTAATGGTTTCTGCATGTGGCCCGGCCCGCGCGGCTCCTTGGGACAGCATTGTTCAGAGGAAGCCTTGCCTGCGTCTGAATAGCGCTGGGGGTGCCAGGAGGAAGAGAGGAGGAAAGGGAAACGGGGCAGCTGCAGGTTTGTCTCCAGCCACATCAGATGACGGGAAGTGGGGATGGAGCTTGGCCGCGGATCCGCGCTGGGGCCGCGGCCCTGCCAGCGCTTCTGACCTACCTTGTTGCCATAGTAAAGCTTTTGACATCTCTTCTCACCTTTTTTTTATAATTATTATGCTTTTATTAATAAGGCTTCAGGTTTTCCATGACAGTCTTCTTCCCTGCCTTTTGGCCTGGAGAGGTCAAGTTGCCAAGTTACTCTTAATGCCCTCAGTATTTTATCTACTTGTCAAGTTACTGTTAATGCCCTCAGTATTTGAACAATAACAAACCATAATCATAGCCTAAAACATGAATTATACAGGATTTCTGAGCTGCTCCACGGAGAGGAGGTGACCTGCAGTTGTGAAATTGTAGGCATGGTTGGAAAAAGGGTTCTAAACAAAATAGATGGCATAAGTAACTTCTAGGCTGTTGATGAAAATTGTTTTAAAGGAGCAACTATCACCTCACTGCTAAGAAGGTATTATTTGAATGCAGATGCTCTCAGGGGAAAAAAAAACACCCCCAAAAAGTTCCTTTTGGCAAGGCAGCTGTGGGATTTTTAATGCAGAACTCAGGGAGAATCCTCCTTACCTTTCCCCTGTCTCTGTAATGGCCAGAAGGGGAACAGCATCCTGGTGTAAGGGCTTTATTTCCATACTGCTAAATTCCGAGGGCTTTTGGAGCAGTATATTTACAGAAACAAACCTGAGGTGGGTTTACGTGTCTTGGAAGCTCTGGAAGTCCAACATGTGGAGTTTTTTTATACATCACGTCTCCAAAGTCAGTGTTTTCACTTGTACATGTGTGCCTGCTTTTTGGAACTGTGAGGCGCTGAAATTTGGCTACTGTGTAATCAGCTCCTTTTCTCTGCCCTGCCCTTTCCAGTTGCCCTTGCTTTCAGAGCAGTGTGGGAGCTCATAGGTGTTGCAAAGGATGTAGGAAGCCTTCCATAATCAATGACAATGTGTGTGCTCCCCTGGGGTGACTTGGCCCTCCTGCACTGCCCCTCTGTACACACGCTGCACCTTCACCTCTTTAAAAGTGCACATCCTGAATGTCCACTGTGACCCATCCTGTGGGATGACTCACATTCCTGGAACTTTCTTGCCTGGCTTCTGAAGCTTAACAAAGGGCTAAGGCTCTTTTCAGACATCCTATCAGGCTTTATTAGGAAAAATGTTGTCTGCCCTTCCCATCTGGACAGTGCCTGGTGCACTTGGCTGCCTTGGGCCACTGCTGGCCATTCATGTCTGGCCAGGGGAGGTTCATCTCGTGCCTGGTGCTATCCTGGTAGGCTCTGAGCACTGAGTATTACCTCAAACACTGAAAATTGGGGTTAGAGTGTGTGGTTTGCTAACAAGCACTCTGTAGCTGCCTGGGAGATGAGTCCTGACTAGGACACCCTTATTAAACACTTAAATAATTCTTAAATGTCAGGGATGGGGTCAGACAGTGAAGGAGCAATGAGTGTCACTTTCCTCCTAGGTCAGGCAGTGTTGTTAAACACTTCAATCCCAGGGAGCCAAAAAAAGCTGCAGAGAGCTCTCAGGATTAGATGGGGCCTGTACAGCATATGTGCTCCTTGTTTTAAGTTGCTCGGTGCACCAGATACTAAGCAGACAGATTTACTCTGGCTTTCCCCAGTTTTATTGGAAACAGCACACTCCCCACTGGATGGCAGGAAGATAATTGGCTGAAAAAGTGTCTGACTCCTATGAACATGTCACTGAAAAGCTGTCTGAGCCAGAAGCACTGGCAGATTTAGGCTGGATCATACTGAGGGCTGGCTGGTGCCTTTTTTGTTGGGGGCCTGCTGGCAATTCCTGGTTGCAGGTTGTTCTAGTTATTCTTCTGTCTTCCTGCATCCCCATCTTTTCCAGGCAGGTGTCTGTGTGCCCTGGGTGTCCTTGCCAGGCACTGGCGCTGGTTGGCACAGGGCAGGGTGGGTTTGTTCTGGGACAGGGAGGGCAGCAGGAGGAGCAGGGTCTGAGGGATGCAGGTGCTGTGGGCTCAGAGTGCTTCAGCTGGGACAGGGGTACAGGGGATGGAGCTTCAGGAGGTCACATCAGGGCTAGAGAGGGGAGACAGGAGGGTTATGCCTAAAGTAGGAGTGATTTAGTGAGGCAGGAGGCAAAGCTCTCCCAACCCCTTGGGAGCCATTGCATAATTGTCCAAAAGGCAGCTATTAATAGATCTCTGTGCCCTTCAGCTGGCACTGCTGGGAGGGAACTTTGTGCCTTGGGGCTTTGGAAAGTCACTGGTAGTGCTGCTCAGAGCTATGGATGCTGAAAGGGGTGGTGTACAGGACAGCCACCTCTGCAGGGACTTGGGAATGTGTGTGTGACACAGCTGAGTGTGAGCTCTGTGTGTGTGTCAGGGGTTCCTCTGTATGTGCTCACTGTCAGTGGGATCAAACATGTCATAAATGTTTTCTCTTCCCTTCAGATACCACCTCCTCAAACTGCTTCAGAAGTTTGGCAAAGTGAAGCAATTTGACTTTCTCTTCCACAAGTCTGGTGCTCTGGAAGGGCAGCCCAGGGGTTACTGTTTTGTCAACTTTGAAACCAAACAGGTAAGTTGCTTTTTATTTAAACTTCTGATATAAATGACTAAATTCTCTCCCAGTTTTTTTTAATGCTAATTCAAAACTACAACAGGAAAGGTTAAATTCAGTACTTTGTCTGCACAAACCCACAGATTTGAACAGCTCTGCTCTGTCACAGCCACTTTGTGACTGCTCCTGGAAGGAGCAATAGTGATTTTCTATCTCCTCTGCTCTCTTCTCCTGAATCCTGCTTTTTGGTGCTAACCAGAAAGGGCCATTTCTTTGGTCCATTTTATAGAAGGATGGATGATAAGGATCAGAAGAGCCCTAACACTGTGCATCTAGAAAATAATTCACAGCAAGGCAGATAAAGTCTGGTTACTGGGAGTCTTTCAAAGGTGTCCCTGCATTGGGGTACAGTGGGATAAACTTTCTGTGCTGTCGGTGAGCTGTACTTACAGTAGGCTGAATAACAAAGAGCAGAGGGCTCTTTGCATGTGAGTGGGTTTTGACTAGAGGCTTGGTGTGTTTATGGAGCTGTCTTCCTGTGCAGGAAGCAGAGAAGGCGATCCAGTGTCTCAATGGGAAGCTGGCCCTTTCCAAGAAGCTGGTGGTGCGGTGGGCACACGCGCAGGTCAAGGTAAGCTGGCTGCTGCTAGGAGGAATTGCTTCTGGTTTGCAAAGCTGAAAAGCTTTAATAATAAAGCCTTCTTATCAAGGCAGTCCTGGCCTGGCAGAATAATTTCAGTCTGTTCTAGGAAATAACGGGGGGAGCTGATGTTTACAGCTTCTCCTGTCTAGCCAAGCTGTGCTGGATTAGCTGTGAGTGAGGACAGGCCCTTTAACCTGGCTTCTTTGGGAGGGGGTTTCTGCTCAGAGCAGTGTGAACAGATTACTTCTCTAAATGCCCATGTTTTAACTTTTCCCAAACTTAGTGAGTAATTGGCTGGAAGTTTGAATCCTTCCCTTTGTGGTTTTTTTGCATAGGAGAGGTATGGAAATTCCCAATTACCGGTTGCTGTGTTACTTGGTTCCACTTCTGAAAGCACTTATGTGGCAGCAGCTCTAATTAGTTTTGACTTTAAAGTAACATACTCTGCATCTAAGCTAAATATCCTTTTATTCCTTACTCCGTCACATAAACAATCAAGTTTTTAAGATTGACTTAGGCAGTTCCTTCTGGAACATCCTTATTTTCATTTTTAAAAATTCTTCTCTTGTTTCTCCTACAGTTATTTACTGTCTTGTATTTGATAAAGCAATTTATTTTTAATAGCTTTCTTTGCAGATAGACAGATTTTGGGGGAGGCAGAGGGGAGATGCCTGTTGCTATTTTCCTTTGGGTAGTTTTCTTTTATTTGATTATTCTCCCAGCAGGTTTCTGCTTTGTCTTATTGAGTACCTTAGTGCATCTGTTTCAGATGCTTAAAAAACCAAAGCAGGTATCTTCATTAAAGGAGACCACATTGTTTTAGTTACTGACTTCAAGGGCTCTTGTCAGCACATCCCAGCTTGTGCAGATCCAGTCTCCATTTTCTGTGTCTGTGGAGCTGCTGGAGTGCCACGTGCTCTGGGATGCCTGAGGAATGATCAGGCCAGCAAGGAGTCTGAGCTGGAGGAGTGAGTGTCTGCCCAGCTGCTCCTGGGGCTGGGGAGGAACATGCATAAATAATCACTCACTTCACATGGCATTTTCCAATCCCTGCATGGAAAGACTTAGCAGCACAAAACTTTGGCTCATTGTAGCAGTAGTTGTTTTAGACAGGACCAGCACGGTGCTGAGCAGCTCTGGGATGAGTGGCCAAGGCTCAGCAGACGCTGTCTGTTTGAGCAGCTCTGCTGAAAAACAAACCTGACTCTGTGCCAAGCGAAATAAGGAAGCAGAACACTGCAAATAGTTCAGGAGGCCCGTTGCCCACAGAGATGACAGGCTCACAAGCTGCTTCTACAGAAAGGAGGGGGTTCCTAACTGATTTTTTCTTCTTTTTTTTTCATCTGTTCTCCCAGGACTGCCCAGTTCTGTGCAGTTGTGCTTGGGTTACCTTCTGGCTCTGCACGTAAAGAGCACAGCAAGCAGTGCAGTAGTTACCTTCAAGTTTACCATCTGTGCTTCCTGCCTTATGTAGAGGGGAACAAGAAGTGACAGGATGAGGTTGAAGGATCCACACTACAATGCACAGAACTGTTCAGTATCCAGCCTGCATTCCATGTTGGTACTAACCAAATACCGTGGTTGGGATTTGTTTCAGTGTTTGGCCACCAGAATCTTTCCTAGCAAAAACTCCACAAAACCTGAGGCAATGTTAATCCAGCTTTAAAGTCCATCTGTGGGAATGTTTCTTTGTTCCTAATTGCAGCTGACTCAGTCCTTGGTCTCTTGCTTGCAGAGATATGATCACAATAAAAATGAGAAGATCCTTCCAATCAGTCTGGAGCCATCTTCCAGCACGGAGCCACCCCAGTCCAACCTAAGGTAGGAGATGGGTTGGGTGAGAGGTGACCCTGCTGTGGGACTGGCAGGGGACCAACTTCTGCCATTTCAGTAAGATTTAGGGTTGTTGGTATTGTTTGTGTTGAAAATGTAGCACAGCAAAAAAGTTGTTTTTGAAAGGGCAGGGCCTGTGAAGTCACTCACCTCATGTGGGATACTTCAGACTGGAAGTTTATTTTCTAGTGCAAAGCTAGTGGGTACTAGGAAGGGTATGAGGTGAGATGAGGAGCTGGGAATGCATAGCACTCCAGCTCCTTTGGCCAGAATCTCTACACTTCATGTGAATTGGGTTTTTACTGGACTAATTTGGTTCAGCAAAATGCTTATGAGCAAGAAGTTCCTCAATAGTGGCAGAAGATGAAAACAAAATCACAGATAATACTTCACATAAAGCTTAATTTTAAATTTTTTTTGCCTCTGGGTGTTGTCTGTGGGATGTGGTTAAATTCTCCAACCACTGCATTTACCTGAAGCACACAGCTGCTTTGCTAATTCACAGTGTGTTTGTGTGGTTTTCCTCTGTGTTCTGTCAGTGGAACCCTGTGAGGAACCAGGACCTGATTAATGCACTTGCCCAGAGATAAAATGAGCTTGTAATTCAGAAGTAACAGGCTAGGAAGGGAAGAGCAGAGGGGTTTGAGTCATGCAGATTGTTAACTTTGTGCATCAGTGGCACAAAGGGGTTGTTCTGGTGAGGATGGATGGTGCAAGAAGCCACACTGGGGCAGGGAACATTCCTCCCCGTCCATAGCCAGTGGAGGACAGTGAATAACAAAAGCCCTAGGAATTTGGGGTGTAACCTAGGATAGCTTCTCCCTTTGGGATAAACCCTGCTAATGCTGAAATAATGTTTCTTCCTGACCTAATTAGAGTCTGGGGTTTTCCCATCCGAGCGGGCTGTAGCTGGGAGGAAGTCTGGCTTTCATTTCTGTGCTGTTCCCAGCAGCCTGCTCCGAGCTCTGCTCTGCTGCACATGCTCACAGCTCCTGACATGACATCATGTCACATGAAGGAGGAAGCCTTGCCGTGCTCTTGTCTCACTCAGTGTCCTCAAGAAAGCACTGAGTGGGTGCAGGGGCCGTTGTTTTGGGGTGCTGAGGTGTCTCTGGAGGAGCAAAGCCGTGCAGAGGTTGAAATGCAGCAGTGTGGGCTCTGAGCTGTACATTCCTGCCGAGCTGTGGATGCAGCAGTGGGGGCTGCCTGGCCCCTCCTTGTGCAGGGAGGATTCTCATGTCAGCAGAATCTCTGCATTTCTGTAGTTGGGTTTCATGCTAAGATCAAGCTCAATTTCCCTTCTGCTCTTTCTCTTTCCAGTGTCAGTGCAAAGATAAAGGCCATTGAAGCCAAGCTGAAAATGATGGCAGAAAATCCAGATGCAGAATATCCTGCAGCACCTGTTTATTCTTACTTCAAACCACCAGATAAGAAAAGGACTACTCCTTACTCCAGAGCTGCCTGGAAATCCAGAAGATGATGCTTGTGAATGGATGATGGTAGCAAGAAACACTGCTTTGTATACCTGGAGTCCTCCAATGCTTTTGTACTTTTGTAGAGTGGGAAGGACAGTGCCACCTGAGCAGGGCACGGCCAGCACAGCCCTCTGCACACCTGAGGGTCTGCACGTTCTGCCTGTGCAGCTCACAGCTGAAGGCTGTTGAGAGAAATAGGTTCCCTTCAAAGCCTCTGATGAACACACAGGCAACCTCTCGTTAGTGTGCATTCATTAGCCAGATTAGGAACAGTAACCAGCGTTGGGAGTAATGCACATCCAAAAATACTCCATTTAACTGATTACTTTTTAAAGTATTTTTGAACAAAATGTATTCCAATTCATGTTTTAATGGAAGGGGAAGCACTTGGTTTTGATTAACATGCTGTAGTTATAATGGAAAAACTTTTTCATCTCAATAAAACTCATTTTAAATAGATCTTGCAACACCTTTAGTAACTGTGCATGCAATATTTTATATGCACCAAGGCTAATTGATTTTGCATTTTGATTTGCACACTCCACAATGTTACTTTATGACATGGTAATGACACAGCACAGGTATTTTCAGTGTCATTTAGGCTGTAGGTGTGTGCCTGCCTGTAGAAATTAGTGTATTTACACATCACTGAGGTCTGTGCTGTGCCCTGAGCTTTGGCATTTGTGTGCAGGGATCCCTGATGGTGGCAGCTCCTCATGATCCGGGTGTGGCAGTGTGGGGGTAACTGCAGCCTCTGAGACATCTGCAAGCCATGAACTCGGTGTTTGCCCCCTGTCCTGCCCAGCTTTGGTTTCCACAGGCTGGTACAGGTGGTATGAGGTGGCACCAGGGTTTGTGGGGAACTGGCACTGCCCCAGGGCCAAATCCAGATCTGATGGAAGGCATTGCTCTGAACCTTCTGAGCTGCAGCACATTTTCCCCCTGAATATCTGAGGTAAAAACATTTTCTGGCACCATTTTCTCCTTTGTGCACACAGTGCTGTGACTGCATGTGCCAGGAGGATGTCAGAGAGCTCACGTGCTCACAGGTCCAGGTGACGCTGGTCTGATTTTCCCTCCCCAGCCCTGTCAGACCTCATCGGTCACTCCTGAGCTGCTCCCCCGAGCTGGTTAATGGTGGTCTCAGACAATTTGGAGAGAGCCCCAATTATTGCAGGCAGGAGTTGCTCAGTGGCACAGCCCAGGGAGGTTTGTGTTCCTGCTCTCCCTGCAGGCAGAGCTGGCTCCTGCTGCCCAGCCCAGCACCTGGAGCGGAGCCTGTCTGTGCCGGAGGATTGTTGAAAGCCTCAATTGTTCTGAAGTAGGTCTTGTGCTGTTAATGTTTGTTTCCTAGTTTTTGGGTACCTGAGTAGAGGGAAAAATAGTGTTCTTGGGAGTTTGTACCCCTCTGAATGTGAGTGACACTCATTTGCATTCCTGTGTGAACAGCCTGTGTTTGTTCCTGCGTGCTCTAACGTTTGTAGCTTTCTGGGTCTGTATCTGCATTGTTTAAAACACCTCTGAATTCTGTTCCCATTAGGAAGATACCTGAAGATACCTGGCTTCAACTGGGTGTGTGGCTGTGCTCCCCTCAGAAACATCCTTTGATATTTATTTGTATTTAAATACAATTTGTTGAAATTCCTACAGCTCTAAATAAACATTTAAAATGCATGTTTTCCTCCAGGAAAGCCGAGGGTGGCAAGCAGGAAGTGAGTGAGGGTGGTAAATGCTTGGCATCAGCCGAAGTCCACTGACAGAACCCGGGTACAATAGCATCAGTCTTTTTTTTTTTAATTATTTCTGTGCCCTGCCGTGGTCGCTAACAGAAGTGCCTTGTCTGTCTGGTCAGGCTCAGACCTGGGGGAGCTTTATTGCAGGTTGGTGCTTGTGCTGGTCACTGCTGCTGCCTGCACTCCCCGGGGCCCAGAGCTCCTCACCCTGGAGCTGGGAGGAGGGAAATGCTCAGAAATGGGTTTTTTTTCATGAGCATCAACCCTGGGACTTTGCATTAGACTATCGTGGAAGAGATTTGAAGAGCGCTGGGGAGGCGGCATCGCTGGAGCCGTGAGTAGGGAGGGTGGCAGCTGGTGGTGGGAAGGGGAGCCGGGCTTGGTGCCTGGTTCCTGTGCAGGGGAATTGGGCAGTTCTCACCTCCAGCCTGCCCTCCTGTCCTCTGAGGGAGCTCCTTGCTTCCCCTGGATTTCCAGCAAGCCCTTGGGAGCAAGGTGGGTTACTGAGGGTGATGTTCACTGTGACACAGTGGGTTTTTCCCTGGTGTTTGAACCATTCTGCCTGTGGTGACAGTCCCTCACTTGGGACAGGCATGGAATCTTCACTCTGGGAGCACAGAACATTCCCAACCCCAAATTCTGGGGTTCTGGCTGAGCTGCTGCTTGACAGGCTGCCACCTTGCTGCCTGTACAAACTCCAGGGCTGGAGGAGGGAGCACAGGAGGGTGAGGACAGGGATGGACTCGGGGTGATACCTGTTAGCTGCAATGCTTTGCATTCCCCAGCCACTGCCCAGGCCCTGTTCCTGGTGCCGGATGCTCGTGTGAGATCTATCTGCTCTCAGCAGGCAGTGAGAGCAGGACACCGACCCTGCAGAGCTAGGACTAACTCCCAGGGCTGGAGAAGGGCAGGAGCTGGGCTGGGGTCACCCCAGTGCTGAGCCTGCTCTGGCTTTGCAGGGCCCAGAGAGCCGTGTGTGTAATCGTGAGAGCAGTGCAAGCATCTGCTTGGCTGTGTGGGGCTGGCCCGTGGTGCTGAGCCATGGCTGCCAAGCCCAGCATCGCTCTGGGGACGCAAACAAACCCCACACGGCCCTGCCTCGGCCGCTGCTGCGTGGGGGGACAGACAGCTCTCGTGGCTGTGTCCATGAACACTCCTACGTGTTTCTCCTGGAGCAGCCAGAGCTAATTCAGACCCCACCAGTGAGAACGAAGGGTTTAAATTGTCCTTTCTCAGCATCTCGCCTCTGCACTTGTCCGTGTCCCCCCGCACTCGGCCTCTGTGGAGCCGGGGACAGGGGAGGACAAGCTGGCAGGCCTTGGGTTCCGTTTCCTGGGGGTTTCTCGGGCTTTCCTGCAACCTCGATGTTTAAACCTGATGCCTTGTATTTATTCTAAAATGGCTTTCATCTGATTTCCCTCTCGGTTAACAATTTAGCTGTCACAATCAATAACGGCGAGGATCCATCCCCGGCCGCCATCAGCTCACGTTACCGTCCTGCAATTACCCGGCGGTGGCACCGCTGCCGGGGCTTTGCCGGGGAATTATCAGGTTACTAATGAAGCCCGGGCAGCGGCGGGCGGCCAGACGCCGCGGCGGTGGGCGCGATCCCCGCTGCCGCGATCGGAGGGGGGCAGCGGGGCCGGCCCGGACCGTGCGCCCCGTCGGGGCGGGCAGCAGCGGGGGAGGACCGGGACGGGCCGGACCGGGCTCGGGCTGCCCCCTCCCCTCCCCGCCGCGCCCGCGGGCGGTGCCGCCGCCGGTGCTGCCGCCGCAGGTAGCGGGGCCCGGCGGGGCGGGCGGCCCCCGGGGCGCGGCGGGGGGGCGCCGTTTCCTGCCCGGCCCGCGGCCGCCCCCGGCGGGGGAGCGGGGCCGGCGCGGTTCCCCGCCCGGCTCCCCGCCCTTCCTGCCGCGGCCGCGGGACGCGCCGCCCGCGGGCACGGAGCGCGGCGGCGGCGGGCGGAGCGGGGCGCGCCCGCCCCATGCACCGGAGCCATGGGGGCGGGCAGCCCCGGGGCCCTGGCCGCCGCGCCCCGGCCGGCGCCCAGGCGGGCAAGGTGAGCGCTGCCGCCGCCGCCGCTGCCGTCGGGGCCGGGAGCGGGGCCGGAGCGGGGCCGGGCTCCCCGCGGCGGCCGGTACCGGGGCTGGGGCCGGGGCCGGGGCCGCTCGCCGCCTCCAGCGCCAGAGGGGTGGATTTTTCCATCCCGGCGTTTTCTGGGGCGTTTTGTGCTCGGCGGAGGGAGAGGGGGAAGAATTTCGATTTTTAATTACTACCATTAAAAAAATCAAATTTGCAATTCTTTGGGTGGCCTGATGGATTCCCTGATTGACAGCCGGAATTGACACTCTGGTACCTCTTATCTCGGGCATTTACGGCAATTTCTAATTGCAGGTAGTTTGGGGGGTTTTTCAGCGCCTTGGCTCGCATGGGAACCGAGCGATTACTTCAAGAGGCCCGGGTTAAGTGCAGGCAGGGGGAGAATTCAATCCACATTCAAATTGCTTCATTAAAGAGACGCAGCTTTTGTTGCAAAGGATTTAAATGGCCACTAGAAAGTTCTTATTTATTGTTTTGAGGCGATTTATATAGGGTGCCCCGCGCTCGCCCGGCGCATGGAGCCGCAGCCTCCCTCTCCCGCTCTCTCCATCAAGGTGATGCCGCCGGAGCCGCTGCCCAAGGGGAGCTCCCGCTGTCTGGACCCGCACTCCCGAGCCATGGTAAGCGGGGCCGGGGCTTGCAGGTTCGGGCCGGGAATGCGGGGCCGTGCTGGGAGCTGCGGGGACCCGCCGGGATCCGCTGGGCCGGGGACTGCGGGGACGCGCGGACCGGGGATTTCGGGGTCCCGCCGGGGATGTCGGGGGTTTGCGCGAACCCGCCGGGCCGGGGATGCCGAGGAGTGCGGGGACCCGGCGGGACGCTGCGCTCCGGTGCCGCGGGGAGCGGCGGGGCCCCGGCTGACGGCCCCGCCGCGGCTCTGCCCGCAGTCGCAGCCCGACGGGGAGCCTCTGCCTGGAGCCCTGGAGAAGGAGGACGCCCGCTCAGCGCCCAGCACCCCTTCCACGCCGTCCGTCTGCTCCCCGCCATCCTCCTCCTCCTCCACGCCGTCGGCCGGCAAAAACGTCTGCTCCAGCTGCGGGCTGGAGATCCTCGACCGGTACCTGCTGAAGGTGAGCGGGGCGGGGGGCGGCGGGGGCGGCGAGGGGCGGCGGGTGGCCCCGGGTCTCAGTCCCTGCTCTGCCGCAGGTGAACAACCTCATCTGGCACGTCCGGTGCCTGGAGTGCTCCGTGTGCCGCACCTCGCTGCGCCAGCAGCACAGCTGCTACATCAAGAACAAGGAGATCTTCTGCAAGATGGACTACTTCAGGTAGGGGCCGGGCCGGGGCCGCTCGGGGGGCTCAGCCCTCGCCGGCTGCCGCGGGCTCGGGGCCGCTCGGGCGCTGCCGGGGGAAGGTTTAGGAAACCCGCCGGGCTCTCTGCAGCAGCCGGGTGGGAGGTGAGCCTCGGGAAACGGGGAGGAAAGAAGGAAGGGAGTTTGGGGTGCAGCTGCACAACGGCCCGGAGGGATTGCTGCCCTCTGGCCGGGCTGTGCGGGCCGCCCCGAGCCCCCGCTCCTCCCGGCCCGGCGGCCGGAGCGCCCGGCTCCTGCCAGAGGGGAAAGGGGCTCGAACGGCCTCGTCCCGGCTCCTGCCGGAGGGGAAATCGGCGCTGCCAGCCTGCGGTGCCCAGCGGCTCTCGGGGAGCCCCGGTCAGCGCTGTGGGCCCGCAGTGGCCGGAGGGAGCGCGTTACGGAACGCAAACGAACGGCGGCGGCCGCTGCGGCCGGCGGGGCTCGGTCCGGACCCGCACACCCGGGACAGCCTGTCCCGCAGGGAGGATGTTCTGGTTTCGACAGACTTTCCGTTCTAAACCTTAAACCACTAATTTTCCCCCAGTTTGACTCGCATCAGGGGACTGAGTATTTTGAGCTCCTCGCCGGGGTTTAACTAAACATTGGAACCCCCGCTCTGATTTTCCCCATCCTGCCAGGATGAGGGAATGGTGTTTGACCCGGGAGGAAGGGGAATGGCGGGCAGGAAATGGGAATGACCCCGGCGGGGCGCGGGGGGCTCGGAGCATCCTCCGGCCGCGGCGGAGCTCGGGGCTGCCCCGACGACAGCGGGCGGGGAGCTCGGGGA